TCAAACTTGACATCTCTGATGTGTGTGTGTGTGCGTGTGTGCGTGCGTATACAACCAAAGTTATCACAATTTTTTTATACTGGTAAATAGGTACTGTGTTTATAGAATGAATGTAAATGGCTCTCCATTATTTTTTATTTGAAATGAAAATAGTACAGCTCAGGTTTTAAGGGTTATTTTCAATTAAATTGTTGTATTTAAAGATTTCGAATTGAAATAAAGATTTCGGTTTTGTAATTTCTCTGCTTGCATTACAGCTTAGCAAAGATATACAGGAGCTCAATCAAGAAGCTTCACCAGCCAAAAAGGCTCGTGTTGAGCAACGTTCACCTAAAGATCTTCCCGATGACCCTCTTCAAGGTCTGCCTGATGATACCGATGCTGGCGATTTCGCTATGGAGATGGGTCTGGCTTGTGTTGCGTGCAGGTTGGTTTTCTATGCACCTGTGTTCACGTGCGTGTGGTGGATGTGTCTCTTTTGCACAGGCACACTCAGAGTATTTGTACACAGTACATCTGTTCAGTCGATGAAGCTAGGCATATTAAGGATAGCTAGGGTTTATGATAAGTGCAAGCCATTGTATGTATATGGTCTTAATTCAGTACCGTGTAACTTAGGGGAATCGATGTTGCATCTGGCAACCAGTTGGTTGAATGTCAGGAGTGCCACAGCCTATACCATCAACTGTGCCATAAACCATCTGTAACTGATCAAGAAGTGAATGATCCACGAAACATTTGGAACTGTGCACGGTGTATGAAGATGCTCAAGAAGGTAGTATGTAAAATATCATCCGTTAATCCTTATGAAATTGTAGGAATAGCGCTCAATATTCTATTTAATTCAATATCGTATCATGGGAAACTTTGCACTCAACTGAATATAAAATGTCATTTTTATGTAAAATGTACTGAAGAATTGACTTGATTACATACAATGTTTTCCAGATCAGCAAAAGCGGAAAAGAGAGCAATGGCAACAGCAGCTCAGGAAACAGTCGTGATAGCAGCAGCAGTCTGGCAGCGTCGAAGACAAGTGCTAAATCGAGCAGCAAGCCAGAACTGCTGCAGGCCTTCAAGCGAACAGAGATCAAGGATAAGACCTCGGTTTCTGGAGGGATTGCCTCCAGTGGAACACCGCTGCAGGGATTAGCTGCACTCGCTGCAAATCTTGGAGGAAAATCCAGTAAGATCACAGCAGTGCCTAGTAGGAATAAATTACTGAGAAAAGAGAGGATATAATTTATTTCCTTAATGAGTATTATACAATTAATTGCTAGACCGATGAGGTAGCCAAATTATACCCATTTCTGCAGTGGCAGCATGGCTTTTCAGTGGTTTATTTCCATTGGATACTGCTGAGACAAGATTTTATTTCTAGGCGAAATCTAGTTCTTTGGGTTCAAGGGTTACTTGGGTTTACATTTAAATATTGACCATTAGATATCACAATGTAGAATAACGTTTGGCCCTTACCTAATGCACATGCTATTTTATTTACAGCTTCAAAGTCATCGCAGTCCAGTAGTTTAAAGTCGACCACGAAGACGTCTGCCAGCACAGGGTCCCTGTCTTTAAGTAGCAAGGCAGAGCCAAAGACACATGGTACATATCACGATACTTGCATACATACAGCTATAGGGGAGGTTGCACTGTGCTTCTAAACAGTCTTCTACGTAAAAGGGATTCGGACGTATGTAATGCAAGAATTAATGTTGAGTACGAGTTAATTTTGGAATAATTACACAACGAAAGTGAACTCTTTATTTCAATCAATGAATCTACCTGCAGCATGGAATTTTCTTTTTGTCAACTAACTAGAAAATCGGGCGTAAAACATACACGTTATCGCGACAGGTATGAGCGACTCAACAAAACCACCGAAGTCGAGTGTGCATGGCACATCTGGCCAGAAAAGCGAGAAGGGCACGGCGGGGAAGTCCGGAGAGAAATCGCTGTCCGTGAAAGTCGGCGAGAAGGCGGGCAAGTCGTCGAGTGAAAAAGCATCGGCGTCGCCGGGGCGATCTGGCTCGAGTCCGAAGGCGAGCAGCAAGGGGTCCGGCTCCAAGTCGAGCTCTGCCAAACATGGCGGCGACGGCAAGGAGGGCAAAGAGAAAGAGCGAGACGGAAAGCAGAAGGAGAGCGGCTCGTCGGCGAAGTCGCATGCTAGTAAGGGGGAGAAGAGCAGCAAGAGCAGCACCTCTTCATCGAAGTCCTCTTCCAACAGCAAGGCTTCTTCTGGCTCAGTGGGCGGCGCGAAAGCGGCTCAGAGTGTGAGCGCTAGTGAGAAGAGCAAGAAGAAGGGCGCACCTTCCAAGTCGTCCGAGAAATCTAGAGGGAAGTAGTGAAGAGTTTATAGATCTGTGCGTAGAGAATATGTCGTCAGCAAACTATTTTGTATAGCAAAGAAGCGTGTGAGGTTGGATCCGTGTGAGAGGAACGTTGTGCCTGTGATACCAGGGTGTAGATACTTAGACTGTCCAATGATTTTTGCGAGGTCTTTACTATGTGTTCCTGTATAAAAAGTCTTGCAGTAGATCATGGACCAAATCATTTAAGACCATTTTCGCAGGCGTTTTGAATAAAAAGGATGTATATTTAAAAAACGGACAGCTTTTTAAGTAGATGGAAACTATAGTGGGAAAACTATAGTGAAGTATGTATTCTTATGTTTATTTCATTTCATGTAGTGGGATGCAGCTAATTATATAGTGGCGCTGGCATGTCTGCAAATGTGTGCAGCAGTGATAGCTACACAGATCTAAACAGCTTTATCTGTAGTGCTTGTATTTGTCGTGTCGGGTAAAATCCAAGAAGACTGCTTCCGATTAAAGCTGGCGGCATAGGAACAAAGCAAGCACCTACATTCCCCATAACATGAAAAATAGCTCGGTGTTGGTTATCTTCATCCAATAGTCATTTCCTTCGGGAGTTCCATACCCTTGTGTAAATGCCATAAGATGCATCTGTATCACGCATGCTGTTGTAGTAATTCTAGGTAGCTGACGATGATATGTAATACTGGAGCCTGAAAATGTTTTTATTAGGGGTGCGGACAGGATAAAAGTACGGATCTACCTATGTGTACCGTGCCTGGGATAGTGGAAGGGACTGCAGTGATGTCCAGCAGAAATCATGACGTAAGTGATTGTGTATCATATTTCAATTTCATAGAAATAAACTTTTTTGGACATCGACACGCCAAGTTGGGACTTTTCATCACTTCCACTATCATGAACAAGTAGAAATTTACAGAAACACATCCCTTCAGCCTGTCCTACGTCCGATTTATTTCTTGTAAATTCTGCCCCTCCCCTGGGAATTTGTTCAGGCTACGGCCACGAGGAACATCGCATTTTGTTGAAGTTTTGTATTTAAAAAGGAGAGGACATGCCCAGGAATCCATGGAAAAAATAATGCATTGACTCTCTTATATAATAAGATAGAAGACAGATTATCTCAACATCCTGATACCACACAACGCCGAATGAATTTATGTGCATTTTTTGTTGCCGTTGGCGGCGCTAACATAACGCATCAGAACAGTATATGATGTTAAAACCTGGTCGGATTGCGCGGCGCGTGTCAGAGAAATAGTACGGTCGATGACCACCAGGTGGCTGACCGTTTTTAAGCTGAAACATTTTAGTATCCTGATGTACAATTCACATGAGTAGGTCTATGGCGCTACAACGTGGAGCACATTTCGATGTTGTCGGCGAATCCATTGATAACCACACGCACGCACGCACGCACGCACGCACGCACATACGCACGCGCGCAATAAAAACACGCACACCGTGACACGCACGCACGCACGCACGCAATAAAAACACGCACGCCATGACACCCACACACACACACAAACACGCGCGCGCGCACACACACACATGCACGCACATACGCACGCGCGCAATAAAAAAACGCACACCGTGACACGCACGCACGCACGCAATAAAAATACGCACGCCATGACACCCACACACACACACAAACACGCGCGCGCACACACACGCACACACACACATGCACGCACATACGCAAGCGCGCAATAAAAACACGCACACCGTGACACACACACGCACGCACGCACGCACGCACGCACGCACGTACATACGCACGCGCGCAATAAAAACACGCACACCGTGACACGCACGCACGCACGCACGCAATAAAAACACGCACGCTGTGACACCCACACACACACAAACAAGCGCGCGCGCACACACACGCACACACACATGCACGCACATACGCAAGCGCGCAATAAAAACACGCACACCGTGACACACGCACGCACGCACGCACGCACGCACGCACGCACGTACATACGCACGCGCGCAATAAAAACACGCACACACAATTTCTGGGGCGAGAACTAGATACACGACCTCTCTCTACGTCGCTTTGGATAGGACCTCTACAACGACTCACCCCCTACTGGATAGCTACCCCTATGCCCCTCTTGGACCCACACCACCTGTTCGCTTATCAGGAACCGCTTTGGATCAAATATAAATTCACCTAAATGAAAGAATAACATTTGCCCAACGAATTAACCATTTCATTCATTATCGTCTGCCGGGTATATCCCTAGCGATTCCGCACACAGCTATTGTGCTCGGTTAGTGCCAGCCCGGTGTTTGTATCACCCCCAAAATGCATACACCGCATTCTATACAAACGTTGACTGCACACAGATATGACCCCGTAAAAATGCTCGTCCCATCGCCTGGCAACTGCAATACTGGGGCTATAGTTGGACTACAATACCATACGATACGATACAATAGAAAACACGAAGAAAATGTGCAATGTTAAACAAAAGTTGGTGCAAATATCTGTATATGGTTATGCTAAATAATCAATATACAAATCTATTATGTTGGGATTCGTAGAGATAACTGCTATTTACCTTGCCATGCGCCATGCTTTCATCAGCGCATAGCTGCTATTCTAGTCTCCTGTTATATTCCAGTTAGACCCAACATATTGCAACCGAGTAGCTGTTTTTTTCTTACAAAACAATTATAATTCAATTGTTTAGTGGAAAACGAGAAATACATAGATATCTACTCGAATGCATAATTAGAATGCTACACATACGTAAACACGTGCCCACTGCTAACTAAACATTATTTCAGTACTATCTGTTCCTATATATTTAAGATTTTGTCAAAATATGGTCCGATCGAATAAAATTATACGGGTCAACGGGAGGTGATTAGGATGCCTGACCCGAAAAAACACAATGCTCAGTAATTTACCAAGCGGTCTACTGCGGGTTTTCTGCTAATATTTGCAGAACTTCTAATGCAATGACCTCGTCGGATATTATTGAAACAGAAAAGGCTCGCGATCCTATGTACACCTTATTACATTTATAACAATGCAGTTTAAAATCCCGAAAGACAAACAGTGCATATGTAAGACGTCAACTATCACACTAATCTGATGACAGTCGGCAAATGTCGAGTAGTTCAGCTAGCGGCACAGTAACACGAAAATAGTTTACGTTGTAGCAGATTCCACACAGCTTGTAGGAAAACGAAAAAAACTTCAATTAAATTTCTTTCTGTTTAATGTAATTTAAATTTCCTCCAATAAGAGCATGCATGGATTCGGTAATAATTAAACGCAATAATTAAACAGTGTAGTTTGGATAATACAAACCCTGAATAATTAATCAGTCATCAGATGCTAATACTAGATCAAATAAATCTCACCTACTGGAAAATCCAACATGACGGGTTTACAGTGCTTATTAAACCTAATTTACATCGATAGTTTTTATTTCAGTGTTTCTATGTATAGGTTTTGTTTGGGTACTTCATATACCTTTCCTGTGAACTCGTGTCGAAAAGTTTTGCACTGAGGAACAAACTGCGGAACTATCTTCAGTGATGCTTTAACGTAATTAACAGTATTTTGTTCTCTCGCGTCAAAAAACCACTAATAGTGTGTAATATATATCCATGACAATATTGACAGGCCTTTTGAGGTGGACAACATAAAAACTACAACGTTGGTGTAAACTGTAATACACTATGTAAATTTCTCGCAGTGACCTAAATTTACACCGACGTTACATGTGATACACGTTGCTTCACCGAATATGAGTTGCTTACTGGGTCAGCAGGGCAGTGATCCGTATATAAAAGTAACACGTTTCTCTATTCGAACCACGACTCAGTGAAAGTGCGCTGCAGCGGTGGGCGGGAACAGTCTGCATTTACTTCTGCATAACCATATACCATAACTCGGTAAGATATTCAATAACTCTCCGACTAAAATCATTTTAAATATAAGGTTCGGATTATTGATATAAGCATCGTCACAGAAACAGTTAGAGTATATCAATTGTTAATTAGAGTTTCGTTATGATCCCGACAGATGTGACTTGATTAATCAACCACAACCAACTAGCTTCTATAACTATTCATAGGAAACAAAAGCAAATGTCTTTGTTTTCTATTCACTATTGGTTTATAGCATTTCATCTTGGAACATAACAAGGTGTGTAGAGAGGGCCCGGTACATCCTAAGGTTACATTTAAGTACAATGGTATAATGTTGTTGTTTTTTTCTAGATAAAAATGAACGCCGTTGGATTTAGTGCTTGTGTTCTTCTCGCAGTAAGTGGCTCATGCGTCGTTGTAAATGTTCACACATATAACACATCCCTCGTGCTTGTAAATGTGGAAATTCTACTACCTTCCGCTACCTACTCACCTCTTGCCACCTTCCGTGGCAAGCTACTTTCAGCGCAATGACAAATTCATTTCATATACGAGCTCAAAATGATAACACTCGAACACGGGCCATTTTTCTCCGTATAGACGCGACATGTGTTTCAGTTTTATTTTTCATTTAAACAAACTAAACAAGCTTCCACACACTAGCATAAACGATATATTATTTAATTATTTATTTATTTATTTATCTATCTATGTCTCATGTGTTACAGCTCGCAGTTGCCGTTAATGGAAGCGGCTACGGTAGCAACCAAGGCGGCTATGGCAGCATCGGAGGCCATGACGGCAGCAGCTACGGCGGAGGTCACAAGGGAGGTGGTCAGCATGGCGGAGGAAGCTTCGGTTACGGAGGCGGTGGGCTAGACACCTATGGCGGACATGGTTCCCATGGCAGCCATGACGCCTACGGAGGCTACGGCTCATCGGGACAAGGACACAACCGCGGACACACTTCATTCGGACAACGTGAGTCACTGACTGACTGACCGGCGGTACAACTGTCATTATTATCACGAACATATCTATACTGTGCTACATTGTATACATGTGTCAATGCCAAAGAATGCATGCTCATTATTATGTAGATATTTACATTGAGATATTGTAAGAAGCATGATGCGTACATACAACATAACCGAACTACATCCGCTCCGCCTTCCTTTGCAGAGCACGGCTTCGGTGATAAATACGAACACGGCTACGGCAACGGATACGACAAGGACTACGCGCACGAGTCCGGCTACGGTCACGGCTACGGTACCGGCGCGAGGCACGGCTACGGCGGCGCGTACGGAGACTCGGCGTTCGACTCCGCCCACGGCGACGACCAGTACGCCAGCTACGGCATCAGCAACGACCGCGGCGACTACTCGAGCTTCGGCCAACACCAGGGTCCCGTCAAGGGCCACGGCGGCTACGGGCCGGCGAGCCACTACCAGTCGAGTGCGGTCCCGAGCAGCCACTACAGTCACGGCGGGCAACAACAAGGTTACGGCGGGAAGGGCGGTTACGGGCACTAAAAACGCTCCGCCGCTACTCTCGAGTTGGACGACCCGACCCTGGGTTTCCGCGGAAAACGCCATCTCGAATAAGTTTTCGGCTGTACAACCGACGGGTAAATGGTGAAGCTATACAATAATTGGGGGATGGGCGGGGAGGGGGGAGTACGAGCGTGTCTAAATCCTCGATGAAATCCGTGAAACTCCTTGGATGAAAATGTTCGGCGGTTATTGAAGTGTCGATGTGACGCACGGATAATTAAGTCAGCGGCTGTTTCGCGTCGCTGTGGCGTCTCCGTCGGGAAACTTCGTGCACGTGACGTGGTAGTTGTTTGACGCATGCGCGCCTCGGCGGTTATCTACGGGTATTTACCACAACAACTGTAATTCTGCACACGCCTACCTAGAACGAACGCACGTAAACACATAATCGTGATGACGTAATCAGTGAGAATATGATGGCTAGTTCGCAGCTGGCTTAGATGCACCTAATACTTCGACAATAACTTAAATATCATATAGAATGGTTTCACGTTGCAACAGGTGGGGAATGTTATTTAGCGCATTATTCCATGTGGCCTGTTATTGTTATATTGTTTTAATGTGTTTTTACATTGTTACGAATAAAATCTGCTTGTTATTTTAATACGTGTTTTTCTCTAAACTTGTCTGTCTTTCTAAAACGGTGTGTGTATGCGTGTGTGTGCGTGTGTGCGTGTGTGCGTGTGTATATGTGCGCGTGCAGCTATGGTATTATAGATAAACATTCTGCTCCATATGGACATATTGGCGCATCTATGTCTAATTACCGAATAGCTGAGATACTCTGAGAAGCATAACATCGCTTTATCTATATATATATTTCATCTTGTTGCAAGATTGATAAGCAGCTTTAGAATCTAAACAACGAGACAACGAATCGTCGGGCTATACGTGAAACCCTTTGCGAAGCAGAGCACCAACTCTTACTGAACAATCTTCAACTCCGAGATTGTAGAACTCTACGCTATACTTACGGGGCGCCATGCAGGACAGGGCTCAATTTTGTCTAACAGAACTCAATTCTGTCTCACAAAACTCAATTTTGTGAACACAAAACTCAATTCTGTCAATCCTGTACCACAAAACTCAATTTTGTAAACACAAAACTCAATTCTGTAAATCCTGTCCCACAAAACTCAATTCTGTCAATCCTGTACCACAAAACTCAATTTTGTAAACACAAAACTCAATTCTGTCAACACAAAACTCAATTCTGTAAACACAAAACTCAATTT